AACCTCAATCTTCTCTCCATTGATTGTGATGCTGCTCATTGGTCCAGTTGTGAGGATTTTTGTTTTCTTTATGTTGAGATGTAATCCATACTGCAGACTAGTCTTTGAAAAATGGATACTTTAACAGATACATGGTTAGAGTTGATTTTGTTTCATTAAAGTTTTTACTGCTGGCTTATATTTTAATACTTTCAAACTATCCTTTAAAGGACATCCATTTTTAAAGATGTTCATTATCATATAGCTGTCATATAGAATGAAGAAAAAAGTTCAGCGAGCTGAAGTCACAGAAGAATTTAAGGATCCAGATGATCGTGTAATGAAACTTATCACTTCTGATGTATTAGAGGTAAGTTTGCTTTTATGCTCTTTACTTTTTTTAAAAAATTGTTTTATTGCCAACTATATATTGAGGTTATACCTTTTATCTACTACACTCAAACTTTTCTATCTTTTAACCAATCATAGAATGCTGTTGTTTTCTCTAAAATATCAGAAATAATGTATCCTAAATATGTAAAGAAATCTTAAAACACAGTGAGAAACAGAAAGATGGAGAAAGCTGGACTTGAACTCAGGATAAACCAAAAAAACCCAAACCCTCTGCCGTTGAGTTGATTCTGACTCATAGTTACCCCCATTGGGTTTCTGAGGCAGTAAATCTTAATGGAATTAGATTGCCCAGTCTTGCTTCTGTGGACTGGCTGGTGGGTTTGAACCACCAGCCTTCTGGTTAGCAGTCAAATGCTACCAGGCATTGTGCTACCAGAGCTCCTTTGAACTCAGGATATATGGATGCACACTCTGAAACCACCATTTGATAACTGATTTCAGATCAGTTATAAAACAAGAGTTTAAGGTGACTTTAGTTTTGAGCAAGTATTCTTAATCTGGTATCCATGGATGGTCTTCACATGGTCAATGTGCTCTCCCTGAAATTGTTTGAAAAAATGAGCATCCTACATTTGGCATTTAGTTAAGGTGAGGTGTCATAACTAACCTCAGATTCTCAAAGGTGTTAATGACCCCCAAAAATATAAAAATTACTCCATTAGAAGAAAACCAATGCTTATTAAATCCTTAAAGACAGCGTAGTGCAGAACCTATGCAAGATGTTTTATATGAATTATTTCATTCCTCACAACATTCCTGCAGAGTAGATTTAAAAAAAAAATTTTTTTTTTAATTATTATTTCAAAGGAGGTTGCTTTATCATTGATTTAGAGTCGAGGAAACTGAAGTACACAGATACTAAGTTAGAAAGTGATAGAGCTGAGGTTCATACCCAGTTCTGTTTGGTGCATTGCCTGTTTGTTGGACAGAAAGGGCCTGGTGCCATCTGAGCTGGGGCTGGGGTTAGAAATAAGTCATTCAGTAAACATCTGAGTGCCTGAAGTATAACAGTCACTAGGATCTTTTCTCTGTAGGGGCTTAGTGACAAAGGGATGGGAGAGATGATATGTAGAGAAATTAGTGTGTTAAAATGACTTTGTATAATAGACGGAATTTAAAAGTTTTGAAGCTGGAGAGACTTAAAGTACATTTTTAGTCTTAGGATAAGGAGACAGAGGGAGACGTTTGTAAAAGAGAGGAAAGTTTCCACCTTGGGGGGATGGTGTAGGTTAATGATTTAGAGCCTAGTGGAGAGATTAGCCTTGAGCAAGAGAAATCACATTTCTTCCTTTGAAACTTGAGGGAGGAAGGTGAAAATGGGTTCATTTAATTCATTGTAGAGAAAAGAAATAGAAAGCAGACAGACCTGATAGCAGAAGCTTTGAGAGAGGCCCCTGGAGGTTCAGGGAACTGGGAGTTGTGTGAAAATTTGGATTAACCTCCGTAAAGAATGGAAGAGAGAGTGGGATACCAGAGAGGATTTGCCAAAAAGTATTGGTGTGAATAGTGAAGAGATACATAGAGAATGTTTTAGAATAGTAGGACATCATTCTTATCAATATTCTCATGAAAAAAAGATGATCTGAACCTAGACAAGTTAAAATTTTTGATTGTTGACTGGTGGTAGGATTTTTTCCAACATACCTTCCTAGGCATGCTTTTTCATTTTAAACTTTTTTACTATAACATGTTGAATTAAAGATTCCTTTTAAATAAATTTTATATGTCAGCAAGTAGGAAGAATTTATAGAACAGAGTTGAGGGTGATACACAAAGGAGTGCTCTTTTAGGATGATTAGAGGGTCAGGTTAAGAAATGCCTATTCCTGGAAGCTTCTAGGAATGGTGTTGTTTACGTGAAGTCATCCTGGTAGTTTGTAGGATCTTTGCTTGGTACAGTTCTGTCATGAGAGCCTTTTCCCTCAATACTTCTGCCTGTATTTTGTTTATTTTGATCCAATTCACTGTAGTTTTCTAAAACTAAATTCCATCCTCAGGAAGTCACTCACTTTTTAAAATATGGAGCCCATGGTGTTTCATTTTATGGTATTACAAGTCTGTTTCTCCTGTCCTGGCAGAGGGGAGTGCCCATTCTCAATCATAATCCTTAAATTTAATGTATTTTTATTTTCTTCTACTGCCTGAAAATGCTGTCACACTCCATTGCAGAAGACCTGGATTCTGGTTATGATTCTGCCACACATTAGTTCTAGTTTTGTGTCTAAAGAGGCATAAGAAAATGAAAAGTGAATAGGTTATTCAGAGTATCTGATTTATAGTTCTAGCTCTGCCACTGAAATGTGGCCTTGAATAGCTCATTTTATTTCTGAGTTTGTTTCTTCGTTTGCAAAATTATAATAATGATCATTACATATTGTGTACTGATTATGTGCCAAGAATTATGCTAGGTGTTTTACATATATTGTATCACTAATCATTATAGTAACGCTGCAGAGAGAGAAGATGTTATTATCCCAGTTTTAAAAATGAGGAAACTGAGGCTCAGAGAAGTTAAGTAATTTGCTGGTACAAACGATTAAGCAGTTGACTGCTAGCTGAAAAGTTGTCAGTTTGAACCTACCCAGAGGGGCCTTAGAAGACAGCCTGGCAGTCAGTCTGAAAAACCCTTTGGAGCATTTCTGTTCTGTAGCATATGCAAATATTCTTGATGTGACAGTATGACAAAAATACGATTTTAGTTACCATTAGTGGTACTTAGTGATGTATTGTACAATAAATAATTTTTCTTCTATCCTGGAGTGCTGCTATTCTGTGTTAACTAATTAGTCTTTCCTCAGGTTTTCTCTATAACAATGTATCTTAGTTGGTGAATTGAATTCAGTGAATCCACCCATACCCCTGGAAAGCAGCCTCTTCATAAATAAAGTCGTACTACTATGATTGTGTGATTATATTATTTACAGTATACAGTGAAACCTGTGAGAGACAGAACTCAGTGGGACTGCCTTGTTTTTCCGGTTTTCACAAGTTTTCCACCTTTAATAGGGTGCAGTCTTCCCACTTAACTATCATTCATTTTAGTGGAAAATATTTGTATTTTCCTTCTTTGACAGGTCTCTGTCTTCCACAGGTTTTGGCTTTTGCAGGTTTTACTGTACATAGCATGTTATTTCCTGTCAACTCACAGTTACTTTGGAAGATGATTTTATTTTGTGTTGGTTTGGACTTTAAGTTTCTCCACAGAAAAACTAATAGGACTCTTTTTTTCACTTTTAGGAAATGCTGAATGTTCATGATCATTATCAGAGCATGAAACATGTAATTTCAGCTGATAAGTCCAACCCAGACAAAGCCCTTAGCTTGATAAAGGATGATTTCTTTGACAATATTAAGAATATAGTTTTGGAGCATCAACAGTGGCACAAAGACAGAAAGGTATGTGATTGCTTGCTTGATGCCTCACGTCTGCACTGTACAGGGACGTTTAGGCTTAGATAGCAATGTTGACAGGCAGCCTAGTGTCGTGACTACGTTCTTGTGGAGCTTTACTTTTCTAGATAAGGCTTTGCCACTTTCTGGCTTTGTAACATTCAACCTTATGAATGGTTTATATGTGTTATATATATATTGCATACATCTATCTAGCTATATATTATTTTAGAAGAGTAAGTAATCTTGTGATACCATGTAATTTTTGTAATCTTCATAATTTGTCATTATAATTGTTGCACACTGGCAGTGTTTGAACCAAATCGGCACACAGATATGTTTTGTTTGCCTTTCATAGTGTTGATGTTGTTATTTTAAAATTTTGAATTAATTACCAATATTGAAATATTAGTAAACTTGATCTAAAATTTCAGATATCCAACATCTCTTAAGACCAGAAGTCCCATTATGACAAAGTTTTTCTCTGTACCATGTTCCCTACCTGGCTTGGTTTTACCCATTTATGCTATTTGCTAAATCCCTGAGGCATTTTAGTGATTCTTGAAATGCAACCAAAAGGCTGAAGAAACGAACATTTCAAATCTGATCGGTATTTATCTTTTGCTTTCATCTTCTGATCCAAAGGTACTGATGTTAGAGCTGACCATATTCCATATTAACTTTTCAGCTAGAGAAACTTTTCTGCTCTGGAAATCTAAAGGCCTATCTTGCTAAAACTGCCTTTAAAACCACTACATCTTAATTTAGTAAATTCTTAAAAGAAAAGTAAAAAAAAACCAAGCAATTTATGATTACCTACTATATATGTCTGATAATGTGTTAGTGTTTTCATAAATGCTATATTTTCATATATATGTTGTTCAGAAATATTTGTTGCCACTTTTTGGCTCTCCATTATATAAAGGAAGCTGTCTTAAGACTTTATTTTAGAAAAGATAAACAAAGAAAGTGATAAGGAGATGGTTTTGGGAAGAAAGGAATAATATATTGCTTCCTCTGCCTACCTTTATTTTAGTAAGAGATAACAAGTGTCAGAATGTTTGAATACTTTGTTCTTATAGTTAGATGCTGTTGACCCTATGCACAACAGAACGAAACACTGCCCTGTTCCACACCGTCATAATCATTGTCATGTGTGAGTTCATTGTTGTAGCCACCGTGTCAATCCATCTTGCTGGGCGTCTTCCTCTTTTTCACTGACCCACTACTTTAGTAAGCATATGTTCTTCTCCAGGAACGGTTGTTGTTATTATGTGCCTTCAAGTCAAACCTGACTCATACTCACCCCTCCTTGTGTTTCAAAGGCTGTATCACTACAGAAATATGTTGCCCAAACTTCCTTCCGAGGAGTGGCTGCTGGGTTTGAACTGCCAGCCTTCTTGTTAGCAGTTAAGTGCCTTAGGCACTATTCTACCAGAGCTCCTTTCTCCAGGGACTAGTCTCTCCTCACTGCATATCCAAAGTATATGACTCTAAATCTTGCTCTCCTTGCTTCTAGGGAGAATTCTGGCTATATTTCTTCCAAAACAGATTTGTTAATTCTTCTGGCAATCCATGTATATTCGGTATTCTTTACTGTAAATCAAATGCATCAGTTCTTTGATCTTCCTTACTCATTGACCAGCTTTCATATGCGTATGAAGCAGTTGAAGATACCGTGGCTTAGGTCAGGGGCACTTTAGTCTTGAAAGTGACATCTTTGCTTTTTAACACTTAAAAGAGGTCTTATACAGCAGAGTTGCCTAATGCAATATGTTGGTTTGATTTCTTGACTAGTGCTTCCATGAGCATTGATTGTGGAACCAAGTAAAGCGAAATCCTTGACAACTTCAATATTTTCTCTGTTTATCTTGATGTTGCTTATATATGTGTGTGTGTGTGTGTGTGTGTGTATATATATATATATGTTTTTTTTTTTTTCCTTTTTCAGAATCCATCCTTAAATTCCAAAATTACAGATGGAGAAGAAAAGAGAGAGAAGGAAGGAGATTCACAAGAATCCGAGGTCAGAAAAATTCACTGTATGATTGCATACAATGCATTAGTTAAACTTCTTTTGTTTCGTGGATGGCTGTGATTCTGTATAATAAGCAGATGACCCTGAGTCAGTACTATAAAAACATTTTGGAAAACTCAAAAACTTGGGTTCCATGAAGAGCTAGTTTGTTCTTTGGAAAGACCACCTCAGGTAGAAGTTGGGAGTGAAGATGTTTACAGTTTTCAGCAGGGAAAGAGAAGGATGGTGGAAGGTGCCCTCAGTTCTTAGAGGGGGAAAGTAAGGCTTTTGTAATGTCTTTTCTAACTTCTTGTTAGCCTTCTAGTCAGCATGGAGCCCAAGCTATTATTGCCTGCCTCTTGCCCTCACAGATTTCGTCCATCCTAGTAGATGAGACAGGGAGCCATTTTTGGGCAGAGGCAGATAAGGAGGGAATGACAGTCACAGTCCCTGTCCATTAAGACTTTTATTCATATTATCCACCATGAATCTGAAAGAAAATGATCAACAGCTTAGGGGGTGGTATCATGACACCTGATAGATCAGCTAGAGAATGTGGTATGTGTTTATGTGTCTATACTCAACTTGTATATAAGAAATGTTAGTTTCCTTTACTCTACATTCTGTCTCAAATCTTATTTTTGTTAACATATGCTTGGGTATTCATACTTTGATCTGATAACTTTTAACTTTTTTACCTTCCCTGTATTTTTACTTCCAGAGATGTGAGAGAGCAGTATCATTAGCAAAAATAAAATCAAAGGCCTTTTCAGTTGTTGCTCAGGTAAGTTATTTCCTTAATAAGGTAATTTAGAAATTGATTTCTTTTTTAAATTTAATTTTTATTTTTCATCAGCATAATACATGTATGTAGTTTAAAAGGTCAAAAAATACTGTATAGTTTATAAAAATTCAATAGTCCTCCACCCCATCCCTTTCTACTTCTGTATTTCTAATCTTCAGAGTCAACCATCTTCAACCTTTTTTCTTTTAGCTTTTTCTACTGGTATTTACCTAGAATTTTGACACCATCATCCTCTGTTTTCTTCTAGCTTCTAGTATTCATGGTCTTACAAGTTTTTAATATTTCTCTTTATCCCTGGAGTCCTGAAATTTCATGATAATGTAACTTGGTATAGACCTGTTTTTCATTTATTGTCCTTGGCACTTATGATGGGCATCTATTCAATCTGTTAGCTTTTGTTCTGAGAAATTTTTTGTATTATGTTTTTGATAATACACCTTGTTGAGTTTTTGTTCATTTTATTATATTTTTCTTCTTTAATCTCTATCTCATTTTCTATTTTTAGGGAGATTTCTTTTTTTTTTTTTAATTGTGATTTGGGTGAAGATATACAGAGCAAATTCACTTTCCATACAGCAGTTCACATACACTTTGTCTCATGTCATTGACCACAGTTTACCACAATGCAACAGCTCCCCTCC